TTCACGTAAAAAAAAATACTTACTCAAGCCGATACGCTTTGTTCCTCATTGCCGTTTGATTTACAGTGTAGGCATAAGTCTGTACATCTGAATGTAGATACATATTAAATATATAATATTATATACATTTATATATATGTATATATAATGCATAGTCGTAGATAGCTATCACGCACCGCATACTTCTCACATGGCCATATGCGTGCAGAAGGCATACTACTTGAAGCGACGCGTTTATTCACCTCTGAATTTTAAGTAGCCAGAAAAAGCAAAAGATTGGTCTCAAACCCGCAGCTGTATTGCATGTACGGAGCATTACATGCAATAATGCATAGATACCGCTTATTATAATTATAAATAAAGGAAAAAATTCGAGGGGGGCTTTCCCCTTTCTCAATAGCGTATTTTTTTTTTGCCAGTACGAAATATATAACAATTTATGCATTTTTTTTACGCAAATTAAACGTGTTCGTCGTATCAGCAAAAGAAAAGGTATTCATAAGGAAATATAGTTTCTTCCTATGCATTTCCCACTTTTTACATTTTTTATATAATTTTCGTTTCGTTAACCCTTTTCACTTTCGTAAAAATTATCCTATAGCTTCTCTCAATTTTTTGCGTGACCATTTTCCAAACTTCTCGCGCAGTTCGTTAAAGTTTTCATTTTAGCGTTCTACAGTCATACTGCATTTTTATTCCCACTCAAACTAATGCAGTTTTAAGCGAGAGAGCCTTTTTCTTTTTTTGCCCTTATCCCCTCGCATATGTATAAAATGCAAACATGTACCGCATGTAAATATGTGAATATATTTATATAGCATACATGGCAATTACATATTCGTGCCCATGTTTGTGGCCACCTTATGGTAAAATGAGCCATATTTTTTGCCAGCCATAAAATGTTTCACCAATTCGTGTATCGCTCTTGTTCATGTCGACATAAATGAGGGCGAATTTTTTTTTTTTTTTTTTGAAACGCCTGCAACATTTATGCATCTCTCTGTGTTATTTTATCCTTCAGCCGCTCGCCGATTTAGCCAATCGCTTATTCCCCCTTTGGCCACTTCATTTGCAAAATTGAAGTCAACGTTTATGCGAGTAATGCGTTATCTTCTCCCCCCCAAGGCGCGCATTGCCAACCCTTGACACCTTACTGTACAAGGGCAATGGGTGCTTAACTTACATAACAAATCGGTTTCCTAAGGAAAAGCTGCTTGTGTGAAGAGGCTACGTATAAATATATATATATGTACATACATATATATGTACCTATTCATGCCACTCACGTTAGGACGCTTAGGCAAACATCACTCTGCGCACGTTCGCCAGAAAGTCACCGGGGGATTATACCTTCTCCTCTCGCAGTGCGCATTTATGCACACGCACTTACATATACCAAGGCGTGCGAGTAACTAGATGCTCCCACGATACATATTCATACGAACCCGAATGCGTAACACAATTTGCAATAGTGTGCAAATTCACGGAATCGAAATATATAGAGCAGCAAAAAGGCTATTTGAGCTACCCTCCTAAAAACGAGAAAAATTGAACCGCGTTAAATTGACGCAGGCGTTTCCCAGTAAAGCTCCAAGGTGTGTATAACCGAAGGCTCAGTCTTTCCAGGCGAAGGTTCGCAAAGCAAAAGTTTCTAATCGCCCAAGCGCAGCGAGTTGCACACAGGTCCCTGTACTCCTGCACTCCTCGTGAATGTGTATCTGTATACATATTTTCCATACACGCGTCAACAAGAGAGGCCCTATAACCGAACTATCAAAGTAGGCCCCTTACCCAGTCAAAACTGTTATCTGTATCCCACTGAGCAGCACTCCAATCCAGTATCTCCCCCAAAATGAGAGGCTTCAACAACTACAATCGATACGGCAACTTCCCGGACTACAACAACCCGTATGCGAACTACCAAGCGGCGGCCTATGGGCAATTCAGGCCCAATTACGGAGATTACTCAGGTCACGGGGGTATGTCCAATCATAATAGTCACGGCTCAAGTACCCTAGGCAAAAATTTAATGCAAATCGATTGGACAAATATTAAGCTAGTTCCATTTGAGAAGAACTTCTATAAAGAGCATGAGGATATAAGTAACTTAACAGCGAAGGAAGTGAAAGATATTCGTGACAAACACAGAATTACCATTCTGGAAGGAGAGGGAGTTCCCAATCCAGTAGAATCTATTAGCAAAATTGGCTTCCCAGACTATGTTTTAAAATCGCTTAAAAATAACAACATTGTTACTCCGACTCCTATTCAAATACAAGGTTGGCCGATAGCACTTTCCGGAAAGGATATGATTGGAAAGGCTGAAACAGGAAGTGGAAAAACATTAGCTTTTATTTTACC